CACTACTATAAAAACCAGCTACCATCATACGTTATCTCGCTGCTCCCATTTAGTTTGACACTGGATACGCCGTTGACATTGCGTTAAAATTCCACAGTTAATGACATACTCGTAGGGGAGCCTCGATCAGCTGATCGGACTACCGATCGTTGCACCGGCGCGCGTATGTCGCACATCGTTATGCCGAGACCGAACTCTCTATCATTATCGACTAGACGCTCGTAGATACATTGGCCGCTCGGTGTTATTACGAGCGAGGTGCATAATGCGCCAGCGGTAGCTGCAAATTGCACGGCGACAGCGGGGAATGCGCTCGGCCGCGCAGTTTAACCTAAGTAGATCATTAGTCGCGTGTCGTCCCGTTATCGCGTGCGATGAATCACGTCGGAAGGGGTACCTTTCTGTCGCTTTTTTTTTTCTTTCTTGCATACGATGGATCGTCCACGACGTTCTGCGCGTCCGCTTAGGCTAACGCGCTTCGTCTCGCTATTTGTCTCACTGAGAGGACCGCCCCGTTCGTTCCTCTCGCCATGAGGGAAGAGCACGCGAATGCGTCTTCAAGAGAAAGAGAGGGGACCCGTATTCATCGTGAGCCATGGTGCTTATTACACGTGATAAGGCGACGCTTAGAAGCGCTTTTCCTGCACCTCGATGGATATCACGCGACGGCTGATGAAAAATGCAATTTGCGAGCGAACAAAGGACAAAAGCGTGATTCTCGCTACGCGTTGATAGAGATTCGAATAGGATCGCGAATACAGTAACATCTTTGGCGTATCAATACGAAAAATAAGATGACAATGACCTGATGTGTTATGTCAACAACGTTGAGACGGTGTTGAGCTAAGCGAATTTCAATCTCAGCTCTGGTTATGATAACATCCAGATCCACTCGCGCTCAGGTGAACCTCGTTTTACAGTCTCCATAGATTAGAACACACAAGTTGCCGTAATCATGTAAACATAAATTTAAGCTAAATAACCAATTAAGGTTATTTGAAGTTTATATACTTCTGAAAGAAGATAGAAGGCAGAGAGAAAGAATATAGAAGATATAACAAATCTGATCCTAAGCAGAAGTAACTAGATTGGATTGAAATCCTAGTTACTCAGTCTGAATTATACAGTTATTTTTGTCTTCTTTTGAATAGAACAATCTTACAGCAATATCTTGGTTGATTCTTTAGGTTCTTAAGGTGATTCCATATTTTGAAAACTTTACTAGCAAAGTACTGACCTTCGTTTGCAAAGATTATGACGCCTGCCTAAGTAAATGAATTAGAGCATTGCTCAATATACAAGAAGAATGATAAAAAGTATCAAAATTAATACATATCGAGCTATCAGTCAGCATAAATATTTGCCTGCTATAAAATGCTGCAGTTTGTATGTACCAAACATGTGTTTCCTTCCCTTAGAAAAATGTCAAAGAACATTGCCATAATTTTATAATTGAACTTAGAGAAGCTTAAAAATATACAATAAATGTGTACAAAGACTTTTATATATGGTTAGGTTTTCCGCTAAATATGGCAAAATAGAGCAGCACATATTTGTAAGAGATAAAAGAAATACGTAGCGTGATCGTGTATTTGACATGACGTTTTTTGGTGACCGCTTCTACGTTATCAATATTTTTGAAATTCGTCATTTATTTAGCATGTCCTTAAATTGAAAACGTATATTCACGATTACGGCAGTTTGTCCTTCGCGCTTAGCCACAGCCGTAGACAACAGAAAAATCGTGTTCAGCACAGTCAATGTCGATCAGGAGTTCAGAGAAGTGGCCGCCCCGGTCGGACATCTGGCGATCGGCTGCACTACGCTCAGGGAGCACGTGGCTGAAAGCCTGCGGGACACGAGGAAGTCCGGTCTGGTCGGATCAGCGTCATCTTGGCCGACCAGACTCGGCTCGTTAACTTCGCATCCACGACGACGTAGCCGGCGTCGGGCTGCACTCGGCCGCTTAACGGTGACGCTACGCGTCCTTTTTGTTTTGGGTTCCGCGGGGCTGTCAGCTGCCCCGGCAAACGCCATAATTTCCATTTCCCAGCGGCCTTGATAGACCGACACAAGTGATCGGACGGCATTCCAGCAGCACTGCGCGGGGAACGTCGACGTCCCGCGTGCGATTAACTATAATAACGCGGCGAAAGAGGAGCGTGAGCGAGCAGAACTATCGATCTCGTCGATACTTGCTGGCTAATATCGTCAAACGAACGAATTGACAGCCGAGAATCTAGTACGGTCAATAGTTTATCTCCCTTACACGCCAAAAATTTTTATTGGGAAAATTTTATTTTAATGTAGCATACTTAGTAAGCGAATTGATAGCAAAGTGTGCGTAGGTTGACAATAAATTTGATAAAAATACCAAAACCATTTACGCCCGCATTCAGTTTTGTCGTCAGAGTCTGCTGACAGGTGATACGAACAGATTGGCAGCAGAAATCATGCAGATCCTGTTGCGCAGCAGAGTCTGTCGTCAGATCGTTACAGGCTCTGCTCAGTTTCTGCCACCAATCTGGTCGAATTGCTTGTCAGCAGGCTGTTACATTTCTGACAGCAGTTTGGCAACATAATTAGATATAACAAAACCTGTGTTGGATTTGCTGTCTTTCTGCTATCAAAAATTTTTAGTAGACTCGGTTCAAAATCTGTTTGCGTAAGTTTGGCTATATCTGATATTAATAATATAATAATTTACTAGATTTCTTATCTAGATATCTTTTTTTTTTTCGTTTCTCACACACATTACCCGCAATTGTATCGTCAAATCTTACGTCCACGCTCGTTTATATGAACGTTAAAAACGATGATCTAACGCGATACTTTCACCATTGACAAGTGATTATTAATAGCGACCGGCACCGGTTCTAGCCGATTGCGAGTAATAAATGTTGCATTATCAATAAGATCCTATTACGGCCGGGTAAACCGTAATGTAGTGACATGCAGCAGCTCGTTGCTGTCGGCGAATCCGTACGCAAGTGTAATTTTAGTGGACACCAGGAGATTCACGATCACCTCTTGACGCTTCTCTGGATGCTGTTGAACGTGTAGCCGAGCCGTTAACTGTTACATTTAGAATCTTACCAAGATCCGAATCAACACATATCTCAGCAGAAAAATATCCGCACAGCTCGTTCCCTAATTTCTCTAAACCCACCTCGTTAACTGTACTCTATTAGTTAAGTTGGCTGAGGCGAAGTTAGTTCACGAGCTAGATTTCATATCAAGGTCCTTCGTAAACACGTCGGGAATATTGTGCCGTTCGATTGGAACTTTACGGATTTAATGTAACGGTCGCTTTATTATTTTGAATAATCACGATACGCGCAAGGCCGTAAAACACGAAGCCGCCTGGGGGAACAAGGAATGACCGAAAAAAATGGCCGTTCTGCATCGCATCCCTCTTCGCAATCACGTGGAATAAAATACAATTATTAAATACATCGCAGTCGTAATTCATTGCACGGCGCGGTCGCATAATTACTTCCGCCGCATCGACGGTCCACGATGGGCTCTTACGCGCTCGGAAATTAATGGATCAAAATAAATTTCGTAACCGTTGCACCGTGACTTAAGTAAAATTAACAGGATTCTCTCGGTGCACCATTCAACACGGCTGTTTGTATTCGTTCTTCCGCGGGCCACATACACCAAATTACCAAATACACCGCAGCTCGAATTTACACATCGTATACGGAGAAAATAGTAAAACTTATGTTAAAATATAATTTATTTTACAATATTTTCTGTGAAATCGGATTATACCGGCATCGTTGTGTATAAATCACCAGAACATGATAGATTTGACGATCCACCGAATATATGGTATAAAAAATGTAATAACAATATGTCCGACGAATTTTTTCGTTAATTTGAAATTATTGAACAATTCTGAAAAAATTCATATAATGGATTCATGCAACGCTCTTCTGTAGATTAATCATTCGCAGTTTATCAAGATGCACGATCGTAACGATCGGTGTTGCAACAAAGGCGAGGAAATTTTCTGTTCTCAACCACTCGAAATCCGCGGTGCTCGGCGTCGCGAATCACGCCGCATGCCTTTCCTATTATTACAAAGTTACCCGTGCGTTATTAAGATAATTTACGTAACCTGCATTTACGTAACCTGCATTCACCATCTTACTGACTGTACGTGCAACAGGTCGGAATGCGAGTAATTATGCGAACGGCGCGTACCAATACCTGTCGCATAAATTATACGGGCGCATTATTCACTCATCGATCGATGAGACCCACGGAGATAACTTGCGATACCTTGCCATACGTCGTGGCATACACTGGAATGACAAGGTCCCAAGCTGGAGAAACTTGGAAATGTTACTGTGTTAGCGTAGACATCGCGAATGGTATTTTAAAGAAAGGAAAGAAGAAGTAACATAAGCAAAATAATCTCGTGGTATAAAAAAATTGAATATTCACGAAAGATATTTTGTCTATGAAATTTTAGCAAAAAAAGAGAGAAGAAATACCATAAATGATCTCTTAATATGAAAAGACTTATAAAAATGAATATTTATAAAATATATTACATCTTTGTCTGTAACAATTTTAGAGAAAGGAGAGAAGAAATAATTTCATATGTAAAGTAATTTCGTAGCGTAAAAAGACTAAATTGATGAAAGATATTCCGTTTTTGTTTACAAAATTTTAGAGAAAAAAGAAGAGAGAAGTAACAAAATAATCTTACAGTAAAATATTTGAATATTAATGAAAGATATTTCGTCTATGAAATTTTAGAAACAGAAAGGAAGTAACACACATAAAAAAGTGAGGAGCAAAATAATCTCATAGCATAAAAATACTAAGTATTAACGAAAAAATATTCTGTTTTCATCTATAAAACGTTTGTAAACATTAAGCGTGACACTAAAATATGTTTGTAGATAATTTTTACGCAACAAATAGTTAAATCACTGCATTTCCTTCTGCATTCTGATTTTCGAAAATCGCATTTTTGCTTCTAGGTTCGTCTCGAGAGTATTGGCGCGGAGGATATCGTGGACGGTAATCCTAGACTGATCCTTGGTCTTATCTGGACTATCATTCTGCGCTTCCAAATTCAAGAGATCGAGATCGACGTGGACGAGGAGAATGACAGCAGCGAGAAAAAGTCTGCCAAAGATGCACTGTTACTCTGGTGTCAGAGAAAAACGAATGGCTATCCTGGCGTCAACATACAGGACTTCACCGGTAAGACAAATTTGTCCGCATCTCGATTACGCGGTATGAATATTTCAGATTTTAGAGTATCATAAGTGAGTCCCAAGGAAGATATCTAATACTTCTAAATATAGGAAACACTGGACATAATTTCGCGCGCATATTCATACATGATATTTCTTCGTCGAGAGACTCGCACGATAGCCGAGATTAGATAACTTATGAATAAGAGAGAGTCGTATATTTTTTTAGAGAAAGTTAAATTATACGTCGAGATATAAGAGGAGTTTAAGATCTTTTCATATTTTCTTTCTGACAAACAGGGTCCTGGAGAAGTGGTCTTGGTTTTAACGCTCTCATACACGCTCACAGACCGGATTTGGTCAATTGGTCGGAATTGCAGCAGAACAGAAACATCGATAATCTCAATTATGCCTTCGACGTCGCGAACTCGGAACTCGGCATACCGCGACTATTGGATGCGGAAGACGTGGACACCGCCAGGCCGGACGAGAAGTCGATTATCACCTACGTCGCGTCTTACTACCACACGTTCGCCAGGATGAAGAACGAGATAAAGAGCGGCAAGAGAATAGCGAATGTACGTATGGTCGCTCGAGATTATCACGCATCGTATATTCAGAGTAACTTGACTTAACCGCGCGTTAATTCGTATTCACAGATCGTCGGCCAGATGATGGATGCTGACAAAATGAAGGTTCACTACGAGAAGCTGACGAGCGACCTGCTGGAATGGATCAAGATGAAGATCGAGGTGCTGGAGAGCCGTAGTTTCCCGAACTCGCTTGAGGGTATCCAACGGGAGCTGCTGGCCTTCAAGCAATATCGAACAGTGGAGAAGCCGCCCAAGTACAAGGAACGATCAGAGATAGAAGCACTGTATTTCCACATAAATACTCAGCTGAAGTCCCTGAACCAGCCGGCATTCACTCCGCAAGAAGGACAGCTGATCCATGATATCGAAAGGAACTGGGTGGAGCTGGAGAGCGCGGAACACCGTCGTGAGGTTGCCCTGAGAACCGAACTTCTACGGCAAGAGAGGCTCGAACAACTCAACTACAAGTTCGAACGAAAAAGCGTGCTCAGAGAAGGCTACCTAAAAGAAATGATCCAGGTGTTGACCGATCCAAGGTACGGCAGCAACTTGGCGCAGGTGGACGCCACGGTGAAGAAGCACGAGGCCATCAGCGCCGACATTTTAGCGCGCGAGGAACGCTTTCACGATCTGACGAATATGTCTGAAGAGCTCGTTCGTGAAAATTACCACGGCTTAGAGAGAGTCCGCAGCAGGGAACAGGAGGTGTTGCAAAGATGGAAAGAGTTGCTGGCTCTGCTGGACCATCATAAGTCCAATCTGGTTGCCTTGTGCTCACTAATGAGCTTGATGCGGGAGATTGACACGACGTTGGCTTCGATCCAAGAGCTCCAACTGAACTTTCAGAGCACCGATGTGGGCCCACATCTACTGGGAGTGGAAGATCTGTTGCAGAAGCACAGTCTGCAGGAACTGCAGGTGACAGCTCTGGGTGAGAGTCAAAGGAGACTCGGCAGACAAGCCACTCAACACCTGGCGCAGCCGCAGAGCAAGGAAGCGCCGATGTTACAGCAAAAGTTGGAATTGCTGAACAGTACCTACGATGAGTTATTGGAGAACAGTAAAGAGCGCAAGGCTCGGTTGGAAGACGCCAGGAACTTCTTCCACTTCCTTCAGGACCACGAGGATGAGGAGTCGTGGTTGGTTGAGAAGCAGCGGATCTGTAAGGCCGGTATATCCGCTAAAGACCTACGAGCAGTGATCTCGCTGCAGCAGAAGCATAAGGCTCTGCAAGATGAGATGAAGGTGCGCAGGCCCAAGTCCGAGCAACTCTGCGACACTGGCAGGAAACTGATAGCTGACAATCATCCGTCGGCACTAGAGATACAGAACCGAATAGATTCACTGCAGGAACACTGGAGGGTTTTGGAAGAACTGGCAGCGTTGAGGAAAAAGCAATTGGACGACGCGGCCGAAACGTTCCAATTTTATGCCGACGCGAACGAGGCCGACTCGTGGATGAACGAAAAAATGACGCTGGTAGCTTCGGAAGACTACGGAGTGGACGAGCCGAGCGCTCAAGCTTTGTTGCAAAGACACAAGGACCTAGAAGGCGAACTGAATGCGTATAAAGGCGACGTGCAGTCGCTAAACACGCAAGCGGAGAAACTCATCAAATCCGGAATTTCCACTCTGGAGCTAACTGCCGATCCGGAACCGGTCGCCGAGCTCGAGCAAGAAGAGTGGAGCAAGGAAATAAGGCTGGTACCACAAGACGAGTGGGTGGATGAGGTGGTCGAACGACTGGAACCGAGAACCGTTCACGAGGACAGATTAGTGCCACAGGTGAAGAGTCTGTATCCATTCAATGGTCAAGGTATGCACATGGTAAAGGGTGAGGTGATGTTCTTGATGAGTAAGACGAATCCTGATTGGTGGAGCGTGAGGAAGACCGATGGTACAGATGGATTCGTGCCAGCTAACTACGTTCGCGAAATTGAACCGAAAGTCGTACAGGTACAAGTACGAAGACCCGAGAAAGTCAAGGTTACTCAACGGGTGAAGAAGACGAAGATGGTGAAACAGGTGGTGCCGGTCCGGCGATTGAAGTCCATCAAGTCCACCGTAAAGCCGATCAAGCGGAAAACAGTGAGCGACGGTGACAGTGTGGAGAAGCGACAGAAGAAGATTAACGATACCTACGGCGAGCTGCAGGAACTCGCTGTGAAGCGTCATGCGTTATTGGAGGATGCCATCAGGCTTTATGGTTTTTATCGAGAATGCGACGACTTCGAGAAATGGATCAAAGACAAAGAAAAAATGTTGAGAGTCGACGATCCTCGCGATAACGTCGAGACAGCGAGAAGGAAGTACGAGAAGTTCCTGACGGATCTGTCGGCGTCTGGAAAACGAGTGGAGGCTATAGATACCGCAGTAGACGAATTCGTTCGTCAGGGTCATAGTCAGCTGGACAAAGTCAAGGCTAGACAGAAGCACATTCATCAGTTGTGGGATCATCTGAACTGGCTGAAGACACAAAAAGAAAAAAGTTTGGAAGGTGCATCCAGCGTCGAGTTGTTCAACAGAACCTGCGATGAGGCTCACGATTGGATGCTGGAAAAGATTACCCAGCTAGACACTGCTGAGCTGGGACCTGACTTGAAGACTGTGCAGGCTCTGCAGAGGAGACATCAGCATCTGGAGCGCGAACTGGCACCAGTCGAGGAGAAAGTAAGCAACTTCATTATTTCTTATTTATACAATAAGCAAGGACAAATAATAATTTAATTCAATTTTTATAGGTGCGAAAAGTAGATTTGTTAGCGAATAGCGTAAAAAATTCATACCCACATGAACTCAATAATGTCAACGCAAGACAAAACGAGATTAAGGAGCTTTGGAACAAAGTCCAAACGAAGGCCAAAGAACGAAGATCCCGTTTAGAAGACGCAGTTGGTCAACAGATATTCATGAACAGCTCGAAGAACTTGATCAACTGGGCCACGGACATACAAGAAACGATGAAAGCTGAAGAGCCCGTGAGAGACGTCGCTACGGCCGAACAGCTCAAGAAACAGCACATGGAACTCGGAGAAGAAATACGTACCAAAGAAGACGAGTACGTATTTATATTATCATACTTGCAATTAATCATACTGAAAAATTCTAGAATATATATGTATACACAAAGATAAAACACATACTCTTTTCAGATATTAATAATTTAATATCTGAATAAGATTCTCGAATTAACTTCAGTTTAGCATTCACGCATCAAATTGCTAAAAAAAAAAGTAAGATTCTAAATTTAAATATTGAATTATTACAAATATAAATATAGAATTATTTTCTTCAAGTATGCAAAATATTTTCTACTTCTTTCTGTGTAGAATTATCATCATCTTATACCTTAATTTTAATTACATTATACCTTAAATTATCTATATTAAAAACAATAATTGCGACAAATTTTTTTAATTTATCTTTTGTGTACTCAAAACTATAACATCTGAACATTAGGTAAGCACATTTGTAAATATTTATGTAAGAATACATTAGCAAAGTTATTGGGTCTTATAGACCTCATATGCCAAACTGAGCAGCAAAAAATAAACGTGCCAAAAATTAATCAGTTTGCTAAGATAATTGTTGCACTTGCAGATTCCGTGAAGTTGAAGACCTCGGTAACCAATTGTTGCGTCGCAACCAGAGCTTGGCGGATGTGCGCGAACGTCTGGACAAGCTAAACGGATTGTATTCAGCTGTGACATCCGACTGGATGGCCAAGGAGGAATGGCTACGACAATGCTTGGAATTGCAGCAATTTAATCGGGAAGCAGATCAAATTGAAGCTACTACCAGCTCTCATGAGGCTTTTCTCGAGTTCACAGATTTGGGAGAATCTCTGGATGACGTCGAAGCATTACTGAAGCAACATGGCAAATTTGAGAATACTCTGCACGCGCAAGATGACAGATTGAAGGCGTTCAGTGATACTGCCGACAAATTGATCGCTCACAACCATTATGATAAAGATTAGTAAGTATTAAAGAAGGTCAAATCCGCATTTAGTTATATTTGTTTGTTGGTGATTGTAGCTTTACCTTGACATGTTAAAGAAACTCAATTTCGCATCAGCTATATAGATATAATTTTTTATATCCAGTATCAACGAAAGAAGAAACCAAGTACTAGCGCGTCGCATGGCAGTGAAAGACGCCGCTCAGCGCCGAAGAGCAGCCTTGAAAGCATCCGAACATTACCAGCAGTTCTCAGCCGAAGTGGATGACTTGCGCGACTGGTTGGGTGACAAGATGAAAACCGCGGCCGACGAAAGTTACCGTGATTTAAATAATCTCGAACGCAAACTGCAGAAACACGAGGCCTTCGAACGGGAATTACGCGCCAATGAAGGACAACTGAGAGCAGTCAATAAGGCTGGCAAAGCGTTGATATCCGAAGAGAATTATAGATCAGATGATGTCGGAGAGACATTGAAGGACCTAAATAATCAATGGGATCAACTAGTGGCATTATCACTAGAAAAAGGTCGCAGATTACGACAAGCAGCCTCGCAACACGGATATAATCGCACCATGGAAGATGCCAGATTGAAGCTGGAAGAGATTGAGAGTTGTTTGCAGAGTAAACAAGTCGGTGCGGACTTGCGCAGCTGCAAAGAGTTATTGAAGAAACACCAGACTCTGGAGAGCGACATGTGCCAGTGGGAGCAGAAAGTGGACGACCTCGTAGCCATGGGTCAAGAGATGGCACACGAGGGTCACTTTGACGCAGTGAATATCCTGAAAAGTAGTCAAGCCACGCAGAAGAAGTATGTTGAAATTGATTTGTTCTTTGATATTTATAATCTTAATGTTTACGACTTAAATGTTTGATAATTAAATCATTTTGTTGACGAGAAAGGGATATGCGTATACAATTGATTGTGTAATTCACAGATTCCGTAGCCTGAAAGAGCCCGCTAAGAAACGACGAGAAGCACTGGAGGAAAGTTTGCGTTTCCACAAATTCGGCTTCGAATTGGACGCAGAGCTGCAATGGATCAAGGACCATTTACCGCAAGCATCCTCGACAACTCTTGGACAGAACTTGCACCAAGCACAGACCTTGCACAAGAAGCACAAGAAACTGGAGGCAGAGATCGCCGGTCACCAGCCCATGATAGACAAGACACTGGCTTCTGGGCAGACGCTCATCGATCAGGCGCACCCGGAAAGAAAGAAGGTAAATCATGAGAGCTTCTTCACGAAACAATCGGTCTTTTTCTCGTAAACTCGCACGATGACGATTAGCTCACGTGAGAATGGAGTAAGAAATTATGATTTTTGCACAGCTGGAGCGTTCCGAAGAATACTGGGTCTACGGAGGTAAGGTGGACACAGATGCATGAGAAATGTTGTAAAAAAATGCCTATCGCTTTTCTCTGTTAATTATACGTTAGCGATCACGTCCTATCTCACGTAATTAACGAATAATTATTTTTATAGGTTTAACAGAGGCTGTAGTGTAATTTTTTTTAATTACAGACTATCCCTGTGTGTAATTTTGTTGATTCTTGAAAGGTGGAAACTCCTTTCAAGATGTGCGATCTTTCACATAAATTAATATTATATATACAAGCAACACAGTTTTACATGTAAAAATTGCATAATGAAATTTTATAATATATTTTCCTCCAACTTTTAAATTTGCTGAAAGAAGTTTGTCTGTGTATTGAAAGTCGTTTATATCAAAATGTTTTTGTTATTTTACGCAGGTATACCAACTGAACGAGTATTTTAAATATAATTTATTTAATACAATTTCACCCACACATTTTGTAGTTTTCAAGTTATAAAAGTTATATTATCAACCACTAATATATGAATTATATAATTTTAGTTACAAGCTTTCTAATTTTGTCACTTTGTTTAAATATCCCAATCAATAAGCGTCAGGAATCGTGAAGTGTGTAGAAGATTTGTAGTTTATATGTTTTTGCATGCAAGCTGATACTTTTGCCACAACAACAATACTCTGGGCAGAGTCAGCATCACTGATATTTCCCTTGATGACGCCGAGCAACTGAGCTTTCGAAAACAGCGACAAGTTATTTCATTAATCATTAATGTAATAAATTAGCTATTAGAGGACAATAAATAATTGATCGTATATGATTTGACTAGATCCAAGAACTCTGCGATGTCCTGGATGATGCATGGAAAGACTTGCAAGATAAAGCAGGAGACCGTAGCAAAGCATTGGACTTGTCTCTAAAAGCGCAAGAATTCTTCTTCGAGGCTGGCGAGGTTGAGAGCTGGCTTAACGAGAAGAACGACGTGTTGAGTTCAACCGATTACGGTAGAGATCGTGATGCCGCCACGAAACTACTAACGAAGCACAAGGTACTTCTACATACATAAAACAAAGTATTGATGAAACAAAGAAAAATATTTTTTTTTTATAACTTTAGCATCCATCTATAGATTAATGCAAAATATTTATTATTTTTTTTAGTAAATTTCCGTAGGAAATTTAGATATTAAAAAGAAAATAAAAAGTCCTTAGTTGTCTAAATTAAAAAAATTACCGAATTACCGATGTTGTTTATATTATTCTTACTATTACTTCTTCGAAATTAAATACTTTCGTTTTTCATTTTAATTGACAAGCTTTTTGCACCAACCTTATATATCATGCGTTCGTTGAAATTTCGTTAGTACGTAATTTTTACTGGAGGATTTTAACTTTTCATTTCTTATTGTTTACAGGCTGTGGAACTCGAATTAGACACATACAACGGCATCGTGACCGAAATGGGACACACCGCTGCCACAATGATAAACTCGAAGCATCCTGACAGCAAGGCAATAGCGAACAAGCAACAAGCGATCGTCCAACAAATACGCGCTCTGCAACGGCTGGCTACTGTTAGACAACAACGTTTAATGGAGAGCATGTATCGTCATGAATATTTCCTAGAAAGTAGGGAATTGGAGCAATGGATCAAAGAGCAAGAACAGGCAGCCGCATCAGAGGATTACGGGCAGGATTACGAGCACCTGCTGATACTGCAAGCGAAATTCAATGACTTCAAACATCGAATAGAGGCTGGCTCCGAGAGATTCAATCAGTGCGAAGACCTAGCTAGAAAACTCATTGCGAATGAGAGTCCTTACATCCAGGACATCGAGAAACGTCAAGAGCAATTAGGGTAAATTTATAGCTAACGAATGATCAACGATAAATTCTTATCTTCCTTTGCTATCTTTATCTCTGATGTTTGAATATCTCTTTACGGTCTTCATAGAACATTAGTATCTTTGCACGTAATAAATTAACAAGATGGTGTAATGGATGTAAATTAATATAATGGTACAGAGAGATTATATATTAGATTAGAAAAAAAATTTGGTTTGATTTTTAAATCAAATTTTACATTATTGCGTTCAATGGAAACATTATTCATCAAGCAAGTAATCGTTGTTGTGTGTAATTCAGCAATATCTAATAGCATTAGTATATCTTTATCTAGAAGGTAGCCGAAGTACGCAGAAAATCAAACCAAACTTTTTGATATCTTTTGTATACACAAATCTACTTTTTTTCTTTCGGTGTTGGGACGCTAACATTCTTTCTGCACATTCAACACAGACACGACGAAGACGATCCAGTACTTCAAGTACGAGATCAACACGCGATAATGCAGTGAGTATACGTTTGATTACTCAGACGCACTCACTGATAAGTTGTATATAAGTATTATTATATCACAATTTGAAGCTTATTTGTCTTTCGCACTTTCATGCACGACTGTTTTATTTTTTAAAACTTGGTACTTTTGTATTCTTATTTTTTTATATCTTAAATTTTTTCTGAAACTTCTGTAAACTTTATGATCTCAAAATCGAGGTTTTCTTCGATTAAATAATTCCGAGATAATTATTAATTAAATTAATAACTATCGGGTATTATTTGTTATCAGAGAATCATGGCAACATTTACTGGGTCTTATTCGAAATCGTGAGCAGCGATTACAAGCGGCTGGCGAAATTCATCGGTTTCATCGCGATGTAGCGGATGCGCTGTCACGGATACAAGAGAAGGAAGCTGCATTACCGGAAGATCTGGGTCGTGATTTAAATTCTGTTCTGGCGTTGATTAGGCGACATGAGGGATTCGAGAACGACCTGGTCGCATTGGAGGCTCAGCTGCAGGTCTTAGTGGAGGATGCGTCCAGATTACAAGCTCATTATCCTGGAAACAATGCTGTGCATATCCAACAACAACAACATATCGTTGTTGATCACTGGGAAGAACTGAAGGAAAGATCTGCTCATCGGAGAGATCAATTGCAGGCTAGTTGCGATCTGCAACGATTTTTTACTCAGGTATCTCTTCTTGCTTTAACGCTTTACATTTCACATTACTTTCAACTAACGAGAGGAATACTTAGGTAAGAGACTTGATGAATTGGGCAGCGGGACTCCGCGCTACGATGTCGACGGAGGAGAAGGTTCGAGACGCAGCCAGCGCACAAACCTTAAAGGCAGAGCATGAGGCTCTGAAAGGAGAAATTGAAGCGAGAGAAGACAGTTTCGGCTCGGTGCTGGATCTCGGGGAGGCGATGGTGCAGACTGGTCACTATGCCGCTACGGTGAGTTGCTCTATCTATTCAGTTATGTAATAAATAATTTCGGATCTTTTAGATAAAATGAAACGTATTGTATTTTTATATCATAATTTTATGAAACAATGTGTACGCCGTTTAGGATCTCCTGCCATATACATCGTTTCATAAAAGTATAACGACATAAAAATATAATTATTTGATCTTGCCTGAAAAATCCTGAATTATTACATAATCCAATATGTACTTTACTATTTCAAAGTGTATCTGTTAATGATAATGATATATTTCATAGGAGGTCGAAGAGAAGTGCAATCAACTGTTGGACGAGCGACAGAAGCTGCACACCGCTTGGCAACAGAAAAAGGTGCACTTGGATCAACTAATCGATTTGCACTTTTTTTTACGAGATGCCAAACAGCTCGACAATCTGTCCAGTACTCAAGAGGCCGCGCTGAGCGGCGACAACTTTGGGGTTTCAGTCGAAGAGGTGGACGCGCAAGTGAAGAAACACAACGAATTTGAGAAGCTGCTGGTCACGCACGAAGAAAAGCTGACGGCTCTGCAGGAACATGGGGACAAGCTGTTGGCGCAGAATCATTTCGACTCGCCAACGATCGCCAAAAGACTGAGCGAGGTTGTGCAAAGACGCGCGAGGATTCGAGACTTGTGTGACGCGCGAAGAAAACGATTAGAGGCCAGTCTGTTACACGCTCAGTTCGTGAGGGACGTGGGCGAGGCTGAATCATGGATAGGCGAGAAGCAGAAAAAACTGGAAGCGGAAGCATCGAAGGGCGAAGTATCCAGCCTGGAAGACAAGATCAAGAAACTGCAGAAACACCAGGCGTTCCAAGCCGAGCTGGCAGCGAATCAAGGCAGAATCGAGGAAATCAAAGCGAAAGGAGAGACGTTACTGGCGCAGAAGCATCCGGCGAGCGCGGAAATCCATCAGCAACTGGAATATTTGCATGCATCCTGGAGAAAGTTACTGCTAGAATCTGGAAATCGAGGCAGAGGTTTGGAAGAAGCCCAGGATATCTTGGAATTTAATAATCAAGTGGAGAAAATTGAAGCCTGGATCAGAGACAAGGAAATGATGGTTCAAGCTGGCGATACCGGAAAAGATTACGAACACTGCTTGAGTCTTCAGAGGAAACTTGATGATGTAGACAGCGACATGCGAGTGGATGATTCCAGAATAAAGACGATCAATGCTTTGGCAGACAAGCTTATAAAACAGGGTCGCGATAACGAATCGAAGACGATTCAACAACGTCGCGATAACTTTAATAATAAATGGAAAGGATTGCAAGGCGCGCTGAGTACATATCGCGAAACGTTGGCGGGTGCGTTGGAAATCCATCTTTTCAACCGAGATATCGACGACACGAGCCAAAGAGTTATTGAGAAATCTGTGGCTATGAACACGAGCGACACGGGGAAAGATTTACCTGCCGTCGAACAGTTGCAGAGGAAGCAGGAGGCTATGGAACGAGACATGACTGCTATAGAAGGTAAATTGAAAGAGCACAGAACGGAAGCGCGAAACTTGTCACACAAGTATCCGGATAAGGCGCCGGAAATAAATGGGATACTATCCGAGCTTCAATCCAATTGGGATGATCTGCAGCGGCTAACCCGACATCGTCGTGATGCTCTCAATCGAGCCTACACGTTGCACAAGTTCCAAGCTGACCTACACGAATTAGACATTTGGGTGGTCGACACTATCAAACGTATGGACGAGTCCGAACCACCGACTACCATATCCGAAGCCGAGGCTGTGCTGGAATTACACCAAGAGAGGAAAGCGGAGATCGATGGTCGACAAGATATATTCAAGGGTTTGAAGGAACATGGCCAGAAGCTCCTGTCGATCGACGAGGACGTCAAAGACAATCTCGAGCATTTGGAGGAACTCAGACAAACTTTAGTACACGCGTGGGATGATCGTAGACAAAAATTAACACAAGCACATCAGTTGCAGCTATTCAAGGAACAAGCCGATCAAGCTGACAGCTGGCTAGCAACAAAAGAAGCTTTCCTCAATAATGACGATCTCGGCGATTCGCTGTCGGGTGTCGAGACGTTGCTGCGTAAGCACGAGGAATTCGAGAAAATGTTGGCGTCTCAAATGGGACGCATCGAGGAGCTGGAGAAATTCGCCAACGATATCCTGTCGCAGCAACACGCGGATGCAAACATAATAAAGCAACGGCTCAACTCGGTCTGCAGCAGAAGAGACAAGTTAAAGAACAGCGCGACAGCCAGAAGAAGAAAGCTACTGGAGAGCCACCATTTACATCAGTTTCTCAGAAACATATACGAAGTGGAAGGCTGGCTACATCAAAAACAGCAGGTAGCGAGTGATGAGAATTACAGGGACTCCTCGAATCTGCAGAGCAAGATTCAGAAACACGCCGCATTTGAGAGTGAACTGATGGCGAACAAGGGTAGAATCAGTGCAGTGGTCAACGAAGGCGAGGCCCTTATTGAAGAGGATCACTATGCCTCAAAGGAGATACAGGAACGTTTGGACGACTTGGAAGCGCAGTGGCGTCTCTTACAGGAGACTAGTGAGCTGAAGAAGAACCGGCTGAACGACGCATACCAGGCCTTACTGTTCGGCCGTAGTCTGGACGAGTTCGAGACGTGGATGGATGAGGTAGAGACTCAGTTGCAATCGGAAGATCATGGCAAGGATCTCTCGAGCGTGGCGAATTTACTGAAGAGACATACTAACCTGGAGAATGACGTACTAGGTCACAACGAGGCGTGTGAATACATTAAAGATACCGCCGCAAGTTTCCAGAAATCGAATCATTTCATGTGTGACGAGATTCAGGACAGAGCGTTAGTTACGATCAACAGGTACCATAGTCTTCAGGAACCGATACAAATACGCAGGGATAATTTGGAGGATGCGAAGTTACTGCATCAATTCGCGAGAGACGTTGAGGATGAGCTGCATTGGCTGTCGGAGAAAGAACCGTTGGCTGCGAGCAACGATTTGGGGAACTCCCTGACAACAGTGCAACGATTACAGAAAAAACACCATGCATTAGAGGCGGAACTATTGTCCAGAGAGCCTGTGGTAGCTTCTTTGGTTAGTAGAGCAACCGTGATGATCAGAAGTGGACATTTCGCGGCAGACAAGATTGAAAAGTTGTCCCAGGAATTACAACAAAAATTATCACACCTACGAGACTTGGCGAGTGTCAGAAAATTGAGATTGCTTGACGCTGTAGAATCGCAAATGTTTTACGCGGAAGCCGCGGAAGCTGAACAGTGGATCAGGGAGAAACATCCACAACTAACGTCAAACGATCACGGCAAGGACGAAGACTCCGTTCAGTCTTTATTGAAGAAATTAGAGGGCATCGAGCGCGATTTGTCCGGTTTCGAGAATACGATTGACAACTTGAAGAAGCTTTCACATGGTCTAGTGGAGAGGCATCATTTCGACAGTAAGAATATCGCACAAAAACAAGCGGATATCGAGATGAAGTTCAAAGAGTTGCAGAAACTGAAGGAACATCGATTGCAGAGATTATCGGAGAGCGAAAAGTTCTACAAATTTATTAGGCAGGCAGACGAGGTAATCGAATGGATTGGAGATCAAACAACGGTCGCTGCATCGGAGGACTATGGACGCGATGTAGAACACGTGGAACTGCTGATCCAGATATTCGACAACTTCTTAGCCGGTTTAACGACCAGCGAAGGTCGCGTATCGGCCGTGCTCGATGCTGGTCAAAGACTGATAGAGCAGAACAATCCGGAGAAAAGCAAAATACTTGTAAAAATCGACGAGACAAAACAACAGTGGGAGGACCTAAAAGAATTAGCGAACGCTCGACAAGAGGCATTGGCGGGTGCCAAGCAAGTTCATATGTTTGACAGAACGGCCGATGAGACGATCTCTTGGATACAGGAGAAAGAAGCCACCCTCAGTTCAGATGGCTACGGCCACGATCTGGAAACGATTCAGGCGTTGGTGAGGAAGCATCAAGGATTTGAGACCGATCTAGCGGCTGTGAAGGAGCAAGTGGAATGTCTAATGGTAGAAGCGTCCAGGTTGATCGAGCTGTTCCCAGACGCACGTATACACATCGACGTGAAACATCAGGAAGCAGAAAATGCCTGGGGCGAATTGCTGGAAAAAGCAGCGCAGAGAGGAAGCAAACTGGCCCAAGCTGAACAATTACAGGCGTATCTGGGCGAATACAGGGAACTGATGTCCTGGATAAACGAGATGGTGGCCAAGGTGACGGCACCGGAGTTAGCACGGGACGTTCCCGGCGCCGAGGCACTGATATCCAGGCACAATGAGTACAAGTCGGAAATTGACACGCGTCATGAAGCCTTCGAGAAGTTCTACAAGACCGGCCAAGAGCTAATTGAGCAAGGGCATTTCTTGGCAAAGGAAATCGAGGACAAGATATCAGTATTGCAGCAACGCCAGCAGATCTTAAAGGACACGTGGCAGCAAAGGGGACTCATTTATGAACAAAATTTGGATACGCAGCTATTCAAGAGAGATGCTGAGACTCTAGAAAACTGGATAGTCAGTAGGGAACCGATGCTGCAGGATGGAAAATTCGGAGAGAGCATTCCACAAGTGGAAGAGTTGATAAGGAAGCACGATGATTTCGAGAAGACTATAGAGGCGCAGGAAGACAGATTCAGCGCACTCAAGCGAATAACGATGGTAATACTCGATTATTTTGAGTATCTTACTTGGTTATTTTTAATGCAAGCGTATAATATTATAAATATTTGTGTAGCTTGAAAAAGCTTTCCAAAAGCAACAAGAAGCAGAAATCGCAGCTCGTCAAGCGGAAAAAGAGCGTGTGGAACGTGCTAGGATCGAGGAACGAAAACGCAAAGAAGTACAGAGAATAACAGAAGAACGGAAACGTGAAGAGGAACGTAGACGATTGTTGGATAATTCTCATCGCACGCAACACGACGAAGTTAACGGCTCCGTCGATGAACATGAATCTGTGAATATGTAAGTAAACATTAAGATCTTACTCAAATCTTAAATTTGTTAAAACTATTTCACACACACAATATATTTTTTTTTATTAATTATATAAAAATTAATTATTTATAGAATTATATAAAAATTAATGACACTGGTTTATGTTTATCAGATTATCGCCATTAAAGGGCGCTACTGCTTCCGAAATAGCAGAATCTGCGACACCTCAGAAACCGCATGGCATATCGCACATGTTTGGTGAAAAATTAAGACGAGGTAGGTATTTCTTAATTAACCCGGGAGTAGTCACATAATTTCTTTTTTTTTTTTTTACGGCCATTTGGGATCATCTTGATCCCAATTAAAAGTTATTATTAGCAAAATATAACATATCAATTGCTGTATGATTTCTTTCAGCGACTTCGGATATCAAGAGGGCTGAGAGCATGAAAGTTGATACGAAAAAACCAAAACGAACCCCGAGCTTCACTACCAGACGAAGAACGCAAAGCTTCAGGAAACTGCAACGGATGGAGAACATGGACGCCCTACGGCCGGTTGAGATTCAAGGTCTTCTCGAGCGAAAACACGAGCTTCAAAGTGCCGGTAAAAAGGCAGCCGTGCGATCATGGAAGCAATACTACACCGGTAATTAATTATTCGTAAGATTAAACACACCTAAAGTTCCATTTGCAAACCTACTTTTTTTACGATTATTTCAGTACTGTGTGGACAACTGCTGTGCTTCTTCAAGGATATAGAGGATTTCTCATTAAGCAAAGCGGCTACTGCCCCGATAACCATTTTTAATGCCATATGTGAGAAAGCAGACGATTACACAAAAAAGAAGAACGTATTCCGGCTGAAGTGCACGGACGGCTCGGAATTTTTATTCTTAGCGCCGAGCCCACAAGAGATGGAAGACTGGGTTAACAAAATCTCTTTCCACGCAAAACTGCCGCCAAGCCTACAGCTGCTAAGTTACGACGAGTCTCAAAAGGTTCGCACGATAAACAAATTCAATATTTTAATTTTTCATCATTATTTTTAATCGTTCACGTGTCATCTCGATTATCTCCAAATCCCACAAAACCAGAACTGAAAATTAATTCGTACACTTTCTATCTCCCGAATTAAAATACAGCAAGAAAGTTTGGAGAGGCTACAAAACGCGTCGCTAGACCACGCGGATGACAACGTCTCGACCGGAAGTAGCCACACTTCCACACCCGAGATGGAGCGCAAGAATTCTGTGATCAGGCGCGATCCTGCGGGGAATCAGCACTCGCCGAGTTCGGTGCAAATAGAATTTCTGCAGAAACACCGGCAGAATCAACAGCGACGCAACGACGCGCAGAACGCCGAGTTTCTGGCGTCGCAGAGGTCTGAACCGCAAACCCAGACGGAATTTCTGCAGATGCACAGACAGCAACAGTTGCTCGCGCAACAGCAACAACAGCAGCTGATACAACAGGAGCAACTGGCTGCCCAGAGGGACCAATATCAACAAAATTCCGCGATGCTGGGAACCGACAAGCCACCTATACCGCCGAGAGGCGCTCCTCCGCCTGTCCCTATACGAACACCAAGTTCAGAAAATATGGTGCAATACCGACGTAATGGTACGTACTGATAATTTAACTGATGATGCACAATATGATACAAATATAACTGAGGACCAATTTTTTAGTAGTAGTTTAAACTCTGTTCTAATGTCTCTGATGTGTTTAAGTAGAGTGTAAACTTAAATCTAAGTTTAAACTACTACTATTAAAAAATCGATCGTAAGATATTTTGTAATTTCTAATTTAATGACAACAATGAATTTTCCTAAAACGCTTTATGTAGACGCGGAACATCACTTGCAACAAGGAAGACCTAATGTCTACCAACAACGTAGCGCGACATTAAATCACAATGGATCTGGACAGTATCCGTCGAACGAGGGATGGCATCGACAAAGCAGTGTAGAGCTTTCTACACAACATCAAGGTACGACGACATTATTTAATACAAATCGATAGAAGGTCTCAGAAAGAGACCTAAGGCTTTAGGAACCCAATAAACATCAAAACATTGGATACAGCAATGTTACATCAATGTTATAATTCCCCAGTCAACAATGTAACTGTTACTTACAATACGTTATATTGCTTATATTGTTAAATGAGAAATTGTAACGTTGATGTAATGTTGCTGTTAGTTGGTGTTTACCGGGAATATTCTACTCGACCGTGAACACGTGAACATTCATCGTCATTTTATAGAATTAGCACCCCCTCTGCCATCGAGCGCCCCTCCGCCGACCAGAATGTCTCAATGGAACACTTCTCATGATCCTGGTCAGTCATTAAAAAAACATTCCGTGATCGATAATGCGAAAGTCGCATGCAACCATCTACACTTTCGCTTTCATTACCCGTCTGTATCGGTATTTTAGCAAAAAGATATCCATCTCTGAAGATAGTTTAACAAAGAATACAAAGCCAAAGCATTGAGAATTACATATATATGTAATACATATATATCTCTAATTGAAACACGTGTCTTATAAAGTACCAATACTAACAGACTCTGCTATTTATAAGCGCTCAAAAGATTACAATTTAACACTACATTCTGCTGATATATCCATATTTTTATTTTTTAACAGGTACTAACTCTACAATTAGTGTGGTCGGCAATAACAATTGTATATAGCTATTTAGCGTGCGCTAACAATGGCACACTTATATCTGTGAATTTTAACTAAATTTTTTGCACCAATTTGTTACATAAAATCGACGAACTGGGAATTTCTTAATCATATTTTTCTTTTGTTACAGCATACGGAAATGTACCAATAAACGTTCGACAGGTAAGTTTTAAGTGGATGACACAAAAAAACGTAAACAATAAAACTTAAGCTCTAAAAAAATTGACCAATCGATTATTCTTGAAAAGAATCATCGATTACAGAATAATCAATTTGCTTACTGCTTCAGTTTTGCTGCTTACACAATTTTTCTGTATGCTCCCGATCTTACTCTCTTCGCTGACACATTGCAGATCCATCTTTTTTTTATAAACTCGAGCAATGCGGCTCACTGCCATACTTTTTTACAGGGTATGCAGCAGCAGAACAATACATTCACCGGCAGACCGGCATCGTTGCCGCCTTATGTCGCACCGCCAGCGGCTCCTCAAACGTCCCCTAACATCACAGTAGTGGACGGCAGAAGAGCGTCAGAGAGTGGATCGGAGAGCGAGCACAGCACCGGCAGTAATAGGAAAGATCGCGACTACAAGCGAAGTTCCGTGTTGAGCAACCTGTTCGGAAGACGCAAGAAACCCTCTCAGTCGTAACACCAATTCAGGTGCTTTCACGAAATATGCTTGTAAGCCACGATCTTAATGGCCAGTTTATATGGGCTGTACTTAAGATGTGGCACAACGACGAACGATCTTCCTCAACATAACAGAGTTCTTCGAGAATATCGACAACAATTTCGACATTATCGCACCGGTTTTGTTGAATAATCGGTAGAAACTGACTTTATGAAGAATGTTTGTAAAAATTGTAAATTGATTAATCTGCGTAATCCATAGAGGATTAATAGACAGATTTTCTTCATAGATTATTAGTAGGATTACATTAGATAAAACAAATTCGAAATACATATTAAACAAAATTACAAATTAAACGAAATATCTTTACACATAAAACAAAATGTAACTAAAGAAAATGCACATATGCAAAAATATGTATACAGAGTCCATGTACATGCAAAGTGCACCTTTGACGACTATGGCAATTAAAAACGATTAATCATATTGAAAAAGGACCAATATATGTGGTTCAGTGAAACCTCGTGTAAATATATCGACTTCAATTCTGTGACTATTTCTTAATACTCATTATCAGCCTATGATCTAACAATACTGTTATACTCGATGAACTCTGTTATGAACTCTGTTCTAATGGTCTATAATAATACCACAACGAACAATGTTTTGTAATATAAAAAAAATTTACAGTCCTGCAAAAGAGATAACTTACCAAGTTTATTTGAAATGTACCTGACTTTAAGAACGAAGTTCACAAGTATAGAACTCTTTTTCTTTTTCGGAGATTATTTCTTTCCTTTTTCATTTTTTTTTTTAAGTTAAAAAGTACCAGAGAGACGTTGAAATACAAAAAGAGTGTAATAAGTTTAAGTTGTAGATGTCATAATATATGTTGAAAATATTATATATTTGAGGAGGAAGAGAGGAAAAAGGTCCCATATCTGGAACCAATGATCTTAATGATCTTAGATACTAAAGATATGTAAACATGTCGTATTTTTTGATGAGAAAGATAAAATATTATATATATATATATATATATATATATATATATATATATATATATATATATATAT